ACACATGGACATCACCAGATGGTCAACACCAAAATCAGATTCATTATATTCTTTGCAGCCAAAGATGAAGAAGCTCTATAAGAAAAGGAAAGACATAACCATTTGAATGCCCATTTGAATTCCAAAGAATAGCAAGGAGAGATAAGAAAGACTTCCTCAGCGATCAATGCAAATAAATAGAAGAAAACAATAGAATGGGAAAGACTGCAGAACTCTTCAAGAAAACTAGAGCTGCCAAGGGAATATTTCATGCAAAGATGGGCTCAATAAAGGATAGAAATGGTCTGGACCTAACAGAAGCAGAAGATATTAAGAGGAGATGGCAAGAATACACAGAAGAACAATACAAAAAAAGATCTTCACGACCCAGTTAATCACGACGGTGTGATCACTCACCTAAAGCCAGGCATCTGGAATGTGAAGTCAAAGTGGGCCTTAGGAAGCATTACTATGAACAAAGCTAGTAGAGGTGATGGAATTCCAGTTGAGCTATATTCCAAATCTTAAAATATGAAGCTATGCAAGTGCTGCACTCAATATGTCAGCAAATTTGGAAAACTGCGCAGTGGACACAAGACTAGAAAAGGTCAGTTTTCATTCCAATCCCAAAGAAAGGCAATGGCAAAGAATGCTCAAAACACCACACAATTGCACTCATCTCACATGCAAGCAAAGTAATGCTCAAAATTCTCCAAGCCAGGCTTCAGGAATACATGAACCGTGAACTTACAGATGTTCAAGCTGGTTTTAGAAAAGCCAGAGGAACCAGAGATCAAATTGTCAACATCCTCTGGATCATTAAAAAAGCAAGAGAATTCCAGAAAAACATCTATTTCTGCTTTATTGACTTAGCCAAAGCCTTTGGCTGAGTGGATCACAATAAACTGTGGAAAATTCTGAAAAAGATGGGAATACCAGACCACCTGACCTGCCTCTTGAGAAAACTTTATGCAGGTCAGGAAGCAAAAGTTAGAATTGGACATGGAACAACAGACTGGTTCCAAATAAGAAAAGGAGTATGTCAAGGCTGAATATTGTCATCCTATGTATTTAACTTAAATGCAGAGTACATCATGAGAAACGCTGGGCTGGAGGAAGAACAAGCTGGAATTCAGATTGCCAAAAGAAACATCAATAACCTTATATATGCAGATGACACCACCCTTATGGCAGAAAGTGAAGAAGAACTAAAGAGCCTGTTGATGAAAGTGAAAGAAGAGAGTGAAAAAGTTGGCTTAAAGCTCAACATTCTGAAAACTAAGATCATGGCATCTGGTCCCATCACTTCATGACAAATAGATGGGGAAACAGTGAAAACAGTGGCTGACTCTATTTTGGGGTGCTCCACAATCACTGCAGGTGGTGACTGCAGCTATGAAATTAAAAGACGCTTACTCCTTGGAAGGAAAGTTATGACCAAGCTAGACAGCATATTAAAAAGCAGAGACATTACTTTGTCAACAATTGTCCGTCTTGTCAAGGCTATGGTTTTTCCAGTAGTCATGTATGGATGAGAGAGTTGGACTATAAAGAAAGCCAAGCACCAAAGATTTGATGCCTTTGAGCTGTGGGTATTGGAGAAGCAGTGGGTATTGGAGAGTCCCTTGGACGGTAAGGAGATCCAACCTGTCCATCCTAAAGGAAATCCGTCCTGGGTGTTCATTGGAAGGACTAATATTGAAGTTGAAACTCCAATACTCTGGCCACCTCATGAGAAGAGCTGACTCATTTGAAAAGACCCTGATGCTGGGAAATATTGAGGGCAGGAAGAGAAGGGGATGACAGAGGATGAGATGGTTGGATGGCATCAGCTACTCAATGTACATGAGTTTGAGTAAACTCTGGGAGCTGGTGATGGACAGGGAGGTCTGTCATGTTGCGGTTCATGGGGCCCCAAAGAGTAGGACACGGCTGAGTGACTGAGCTAAACTCACCTGAAAATCACTGCGATTATTTTTTTATAACTTAATTGAAAAGTAAGCATTCAAATAGAACAAAAAGCAGTCATAAAATTCAAGAATAATTACATTTTATGGTTGATTTAGAGTTCTTTCTTGATTTTTGGAAATAATAATAACATAAAAGATATAATTTGTATTTATCAAAAGCTTCTAAGCCTCAGCTGACATTTACATGTCTGTGTTTGTAAAGATTGGTTTTGTTATACCTTTTACATAAAACGTGTTTTTTGTTTTGTTTTGTTTTTTTTTACAGTTTATGTTAACTGTTAGATAAAGCTTTTCTAAAATTGAAAGTGTTAGTTCCTCAGTTGTGACTAACTCTTCATGATCCCATGGACTGCAGCCAGTCAGTCTTCTTGGTTCATGGGATTCTCCAGGCAAGAATACTGGAGTGGGTTGCCATTTCCTACTCCAGGGATTATTCCTCACCCAGGGATCTAACCTGCATCTCTTGCATCTCCTCTATTGGTAGGCAGATTCTTTTCCGCTGTGCCACTATGAGGTTGAGAAATCTACAGGAAAGTAATAACAATACCTGTTTTTCTTCTTCTTCTTCTTTTTTTTTTTTAGCCTTTGAATGTTCATTAACAATGGTTTCCATAAACAAGCATCCATATTAATGTGGGGGATGAAGGTGGGAGGAGAGAGAAGGGTAGGGAGAAAGAATTCTGTTCTATTAGTAATAAAGCTCCAGATTCATCCAACTGTGAATTTCATTGCTCCCCAGAGACACGTGGTGCTTTAAAATCGTGTACCACTTCTTCAATACGATATTGTTCCATCCAGGGCCAGTTTGGGCTATCGTCAGCTTCCTAAGTTTGCCGACGGCATCATCAGTATTGCATTAAATGCAGATCTTCTTCCCCAGAGGGTCCTTGCAAAAAGCCTTAGTCATCCTGGCTGGAGCTCCCATACTCCACCTGGACCCCCATCCCCACTTCAGGTCACCTGAAGGCCAAGCTGAGCCTCTTGCAGGCCAGGGGATCCTGGCAGGCTGGGTTCTACCACCTTTCCCTAACTCCAGACTCTTCTACTCCACCCCCCTCATCTCTTGTTTTTCTTCTTTTGATGAGGTTTTTCTTACAGAAAAAAATTGAAAGTATACTTTCTCACTCCTTCCATATTCAATACAGTCACATTGAGATAGCTTGCTGGAACAATATTATTCTGCATGGTTTTCTTGTACCCAAAGCAAATACTAATTCTCAGGTCTTTGTATTTTTTCAAATAGGACCGTTAGAGTTCCCAATTATGAACTTGTCGACTACAAATTGGTGCTTACCAAGAGCATTGCCAATGATTGAACAACAAAGGCATTTGCCATCTGCCACTGTGGAGATTGAACCCCATGCTGCTATAGCTGTTGACCTTCAACAACCCTTGAGGGAGTTCAGGGTGGAGTGAGACACTCTGTGCTCTAGGGAATCTCATGGGGCAGGTCTTTAAGTAGTTGGATGTTTTTAAGAACAGATATTATGATCTCAGTCCTTGCATCTCCTCATATCTAGAGAAGCCTAAATACCTTCAAGGTGACAGCAGATCCTCATGACTAACAAAGAAATCCTTTGTAAAATGAGTGCTTCATGATATTGAACCCCCCCCTCAACAAAAACCTAAAAGATGAACTTCCCCCAACCCCGCCTTGGAACAATCTCTCAGAGCTATCTGAGATGCTCTCTCCTGGGCTGCAGTCCTCATTTTGCCCCAAATAAAACTTAACTCACAACTCTCAAGTTGTACATCTTTCTTTAGTCAACAAACTCTATTTATAATGCTATAGCTAGAGATTTGGCAAGTATCTTCTAGTGAAATATTGCAGTAGACCCAATTGTGGGTGCATGCTAAGTCTCTTCAGTCGTGTCCAACTATTTATGACTTTATAGACTGTAGCCCATCACACTCCACTGTCCATGGGATTCTCCAGGCAAGATACTAGAGTGGCTTGCCATGCCCTCCTCCAGTGGATCTTCTCAACCTAGGAATGGAACCCAAGTCTTTTATGTCTACTGCATTAGCTGGCAGGTTCTTTACCACTAGAGCTACCTGGGTTTCTAACTAAAAAAAATTTTTTTAATTTAAAAAAAAGGAGATCTGAAAACAATAAGTGAAAAGAATACCTTATAAATGCTTTAGTTTTGTGTTCTAATAAGGACAATGTATTAGATATCACACTGATCAACTTTTTAAAATATATGAGGATGGGGATTGAATATTGTTTTAACAAAACTAATCTCTCTTTAACAGAAATTCCCTCTTTATGTTAACTTCTATTATAGTCAGTTGTGAAAAAAAAATAACTATGAAGGATATACTTTTATGTACTAGAAATGTTGACTTTCCATATTTTACATCAATGTGTCCTATTAAAAGGAATAAGATTTGCATTTATTTTGCCAGTGAATAGTATAGGATTCTCCGTGGGGGAATCTAACCAATCAGATTTCTCTGGGATGTCCACAGGGACACCCACCACAGGAATATCTCCCAGTCTAACAGTCTGATTTCAGTGAGGAGGCCCTTCCCAAGTACTCAACTTATTGGGTCAGGGTTGAAGCCACTCTTGTCTCCTCAACTCAGAAAGCTGAGTCAATCAGAATCTCTCTCCCAGGAGCTTAGAGTCAGGGCTCAGAGACCAGGGTTTGCTCTTTATCTGTGACTGAAACTGTGGCTTGTTATCTTGTTGCTTATAATACAGGCTGCCATCAGGAAAGAACTGCCTATCCCTAACATTAAGGGGACCCAGAACAAACCTCTTAAGTTTTTGTTTGTTTTCTTTCTTGGCTCTGCATTTTATTTGGATTGTTGTAAACTTTTGACAATTTTGTTGGTCAAACTTGATTCTCGCACATTTTGCTTAGTTCTTTGGTGGCTTCTCTGGTGGCTCAACTGGTAAAGAATCCACCTGCAGTGCGAGAGACCTGGGTTCAATCCCTGGGTTGGGAAGATCCCCCTGGAGAAGGGAATGGCTATCCACTCCAGTATTCTGTCCCAAGAATTCCATGGACTACAGTCCATGAGGTCACAAAGAGTTGGAAACGACTAAGCCACTTTCACTTGGTGATGCTATGGGGGTCTGATCTTTGGAGGTATCTACTCTGCTGTTTTCATTAATTCATTAATTCATTTCATTAATTAATTCATACTATCTGTTTTTATGCTTTAAAACTATATTAGATGCACATGATTTGAGAATTGAAATACTTAACTGTCAAATTGACATTGTTATCATTTTAAACTATACATCCTCATCTCTAGTAGGGTTTCATAAGTTAAAGTTTAATTAGTTTATGATATATTCATCAGATTTTCTTCAGCTCATGCTTACAGAGTACAACTTTTTGCACCCTTTTGCCACCAAAGTGGGTCTTTATATTTAATGTGTGAATTTTGTATTTGTCATATTATTTGTACTGTATCTTACTCAATCTAAAATATTTTGCACTGAAGAGAAATTAAAGGATATATGCATAAATAGTAGGATCTATTTATAAGCAGGTTGAAGGACCCCAAACTGTTATTATGTCTTTCCAAATTAATTTTCTGTTCAATGCTCTTTCATTAAAAATCTGAGCATGAGAAGCAGAAGTTTAACAAACTCATTTTTCAAATTTAAGGGTTTTTTGTTTTGTTTTGTTTTTTGGTTCTTAGGAATTTTGCTCTCCACAGGGCAAAATTCATGTTTATCTGTTTTTATCCTTCTTGGGGATGCTTCCCAAGTAATTCAGTGGTTAAAAAAAAAAATCCTCCTGCCAATACAGAAGACACAGGAGACATGGGTTTCACCCCTGGGTTGGAAAGATGCCCTGGAGGAGGAAATGGCAATCCACTCTAGTATTCTTGCCTGAAAAATCCCATGGACAGAGGAGCTTGGCAGGCTATAGTCCATAAAGTCACAAAGAGTGGGATGCGACTTAGGAACTAAGCATGCACTCATGCATCCTTCTTGGGGTTCACAGAACTTGCTGCCTCTCTGGATTTATGCCCTTCATTATCTTTGTTCTTTTTATTTTTATTTCTTTATTTATTTGGCCATGCTGAACAGCTTGTGGGATCTTAGTTCTCTGACCATAAATCAAACTCAGCCCTAGGCAGTTTAAGCAGGCAGTCCTAACCACTAGACAGCCAAGGAATCCCCAATGCCCTTCAATGTCTTTAGAAAATTTTGTCCTGAATGACTTCAAGTGTTTTGCTATATTTATTAATACATGTTATTTTTCACCATGATTCAGAACAAATCACTTTCATTGACTCGTTTTCAAGCTCACACATTTTTTTCTTCTCTTATTGGTGTATTATTAAAACTCAATACTAATGATATTTTTCATTTCTGCATTTTCATTGTATTTTCTATTTTCCATTAAATGTTCAGTATTTCTAATTAAGAATTTTATATGATTTCATTTTTCTCACCCTTTTTAGCATATGAATTATCTTAATCTTTCCACTTTTTTAAAAATGGTTGTCATAGAACTTGCAATATGTTTTACAACAAAGTCAGGTTGACTTTCCAGTAATACGATGCTGACTTTACAGTAATTTTATGCCATTGCACAAGCTAGTGCAAATACCATAGAATAATAGATTATTACTCTTGTATCCTCTCATCCCTTGTATCATTGTTATCATTAATTTTATTTATTCATAAGCTGTAAAGTTATAATCATCAAGTTATTATTATTTTAAACAAACTTGTCAGAACAATTAAGAATAGGAAAAATAAAAGTTATTTTATTAATTACTCTTCCTATACTTTGCTTTTCTTGTGTGTATCCTCACACAAATCTCTCTCCCTTACTCTTTGCCTCAGCAGTGATCCTATAGATAAATTTATAGAAATTTAAAACCAAAATGATATATGATTGTAGAGTGTATATGCATTACTTATTTTAAAATTTAATCTTTAAAATATTGGAAACTGATTTACTTTTTCTACCACTCAGGTATCCCTAGGGCAGTGGACACAATACTATAAAATATATTTGTATTTTAATACAACATATGTCTGTGTCAGGAAATGTTTAAGTGAGGTTATGGTTGGTTTACTTTCAGAGTCTGTAATATTAGTATGGTGGATTTTATTTTTGACTCTGTTGTTAGATTCAAACAGAGTGCTACTTCCTACCAGTCTCTGCATCTTTAAATAATAGTCATGTATGGATGTGAGAGTTGGACTATAAAGAAGGCTGAGTGCTGAAGAATTGATGCTTTTGAATTGTGGTGTTGGAGAAGATTCTTGAGACTCCCTTGTACTGCAAGGAGATCCAACCAGTCTATCCTAAAGGAAATCAGTCCTCAATCTTCATTGGAAGGACTGATGCTGAAGCTAAAACTCCAATACTTTGGCCACCTTGTGCAAAGAACTGACTCACTAGAAAGACCCTGATGCTGGGAAAGATTGAAGGCAGGAGAAGGGAACGACAGAGGATTAGATGGTTGGATGGCATCACTGACTCAATGGATATGAGTTTGAGTAAGCTCTGGGAGTTGGTGATGGACAGGGAAGGCTGGCTTGCTACAGTCCATAGGGTTGCAAAGAGTTGGACACAACTGAGCTACTGAACTGATCTCCTTAAGCCTGCTTTATACTTCACAAAATAGTGGTAGCATTACCTATCTTACTTTGCTTTCTTAGTATTTAACTAAATATACTGCATACTGCATTTAGTACACTGCTTAATGCACTTAATATATTGCTTTGCAAATATTAAACACAATACATGACTAATTTATGAGCAATACTGTAATTATATTCACTTCTAATAGTAGACAAGCTTCAGAATCACTTTAATACCACACCTTAGAGAAAAAAAAATTAAATGTGACATTTAAATAGAGTTTATCAGTTTTACTAACATAAACTAAGAGCTACCACCCATTTTTTAGACCTGGAAAGATGGATAAAATTAATCTAAGTAGTCTGCATCTGAAAACATCAGGGTTTATAATATAACTTGCATTTTGTGCCAGTTTGGACTACTATAACTAAGCAGTGACAAGTATGTAAACCCTTTATTGCATTGTTTGCTTCTTTTCACTTTCTTTACTTTTTTATCCTATGCCAGATTGAATGAGCTATTTCTGTCTAATTGACAAATGTAGCAGTTTATTGGGCTAAATGCTTAGAGGATTGCAATAAGAGATTTTAAACTTCAGTGTCAAGATCCTGTTGTTGCTGTAGGCTGTTCACCTCTTTTCAATAGCAAGGTCACCACAAGCATCACCTGCTTTCTTGGTTGTGCAAACTTCTTGGCAGAAAAGGGGTTTTGAATTCTCATAGCTCATCATATACTGAAAGAATATTTCATATTTTGCATGTAACGCACGCACAAGTATGTTGTTATTTTTTCTACCCAGCTGAGTTACATCTTCATTTTAACTAGTTTTGTTACATCTTCCTCTGCCAATATTTGTCCCTTGGCAGACTTTCACTGGAGACCCCTGTCTGTGTGTTAGCCATTCCCAGACAGGACACATACGCAGTATGAATTTAGTGATATATCTGAACAAACTTTACTTGTTCTTTGTTCTTACAATGGTGTACAAAATTTTCTTGATTTTGCTCATCTATTTGTTGTCTTTAATTTTACTTTTTTCTCTTCAATTTTTTTAAGCAAATACGTGTGTAATTTGTCTACAAAATATATTTTACCACTGTCAGGTTATTACCCCCTTGTTTATTATTTATATTATAAATATTCCCTGGAGGTGCTTTTCATTTTTAAATGTGTTTAAAAAAAATAATGGCATTATTATTAATAAAAAAACAAGCAGTTAGGAAATGCACTGAACTAGACAGCTTAGAGGTCAAAGAAGTACAATTTTTAGTTGGCCCTTTCCTTGTATTTTTATATATAAAGGAACTAGTACCTTTAGTCCTAGACCTCATCAACTCTTTGATGTACAATGCAAGCATCAACTGGCAGAATGTGAGCAGTTTCAGCCTTATCCACTTACAAAGATCAGTATACATCTTAGTGGCTGAAGACCCCATATTTTGTGGGTCAAGTTTAAACTGTATTGCAGATATTTAGACATTGGTTTCCAATAATTTCCCTCTTTATCCCTTTTGTTATACTGATTCAGGTTATCACTTGATATTTTTGCTTCATTTTTCTGTATCTTAGCATGATAATTCCTCTTTAAAATTGCAACTTCCCATGAACGTTAGCACTGGTGTGAAAAAAAGTAAAATCTCTCTTCTTTTTTGGCACCATACAGTTTAGGATTTTCTTGACTCTTGAGTGACTCAGGAAGACTAATTTCCTGAGGGAGGCTCCCCTGAGTTGTGGGAAAGAGCAAGTTTGGGCCACAGGTTCAAGAAGTCACAGGAGAGGACAGTGGAAAGAAAGGTTATAAACAAGAAAATGTTTCAAGAAATCCCAAACCTGGAAACTGATTCAGACCATTTGACATAAAAAGAGAGGTTGGGTACAGCCAAGGCTGAAAGACTCACCTGATGACACGCTCATTAAGTCCCAGCTTCCCAGTGTTTTTCCGCTCTGCACAGTTACAATAGATATTATTGTCCTCACCGTTTTATAGGTAAGTAAATCAAGTCACAGAGGGCAGTAACTTGTAGGGTTATGCAGCTAATAGGAAATCAAGGAGAAACCTGAACGCTGGCAGTTGACTGCCCCACAGAGGTGGTGGTGGTTCAGTCACTAACTTGGGTTCGACTCTTGTGACCCCATGGACTGTAGCCTGCCAGGCTTCTCTGTTCATGGGATTCTCCAGGCAAGAATACTGTACATGTTGTTAATCACCTTTCATATCAATTTATAAAGGAGTAATGGCAAAAATCAGGTGTGATAGCAAAAGTGAGTAGAGGTATCCTTTTTAAAAATGTCACACTTGAAACATCTAAAAATCAATATTAAGAAAAAAAAAATTCCTCTAAAAAATAGATAGGTTTAGTTTTCTCATGAAATTATTTAACTCTTTGTTTTAATTTGGCCTGTTAAATATGCTGACTCTTTCTTCTAACCTGCAGAGTTGTATTCTCATGCACTCTGTCCTCACTTTCTCTGTATATTTATATTCCTTTTTGACTGAATTTTTGACTTCACGTTTATATTTAAAAATATAA